ACTTTATTGAGGTATTAGTATAATTAATTACATATAAAAAAATTAATTATTTTAAATTTGGTTTATTGATTAAAACTTTTCTTTTTTGTATTAGTATAATCAAGATTTGTACTTGAAATACATACTTCATTTGTGCTTAAGTCATTGGGAAAGAAATGAAAAGATTATAAGCGTAATTTAAAAAATAAGTATTTCGATAAAAATACAACTGTAGAGGTGATGATGGAAAATCTACCTCGTAATGTGATTAGGTGGCAATATGAACAATTAGTTAGATTTTAGTTCTCAAGAAAAATAGAGGTACTAATTTATAACTTTGTATAATAGAATGAAATAATGAAAGTGTTTTATGCTTTAAATAGGTAATATTTGTATTTCTACAATATACCCAATTATTTTTTATGATAGGAAAGAGAAAAAATTGGGATTTGTAGCAGAAAGCAATAGAAAAATAGCCATACAAGTGGATCAAAAAGTTTTGCAAGAAAGTAAAAAGAAATGGTAAGTTTATGATTTTAAACTTATTCCAATGAATGAACTTTTTGTGCCGTTAAAAGGTAAATATGCAAATTAACAATTATTGTACTATTTTAATAGTTTTGATAATTTCAATTGATGATATTAAACTTATCGAAAGTTTTGAACTTAGTTGAGAAGGATGATATGTATGAAAAAGTTATTGTTTATGTCTATTTAGGTAAAATTAGAAATTTTTTATTGTTGTTCAATTTAAACAGTTTGGATAGCTTCAATACTTGATATTAAACTTGTCTGATTAATTGAACTTGATTTCTATGATTGATATGGGTGAAAAAGTTGTCATTTATGTCTATTTAGGACTATTTTTGCCTTTAAAAGGCAAAAATACAAATTAAACTTTTGGATGGCTTTCAATAGTTTGAATGGCTTTCAATAGTTTGAATGGCTTCAATCCATGATATTAAACTTATCCAAATTTGGTTGCCATGATCAATATGTGTGAAAGGCCAAAATGCTTTTATTGTTTACGTCTGTTTAAGATTATTGTGTTGTAAAGGGGCCAAAATATAAATACATAATATTAAAATTATTCGAAATTTTTGAACTTGATTGACAGGCATGATATGCATGAATAAGTTACGGTTGATATGTATCCTATCAAATAACATATCTTTTTGTATAAGAGATTGAGAAGTGGTTAAATTAGACATGTGAAACTTTTTCGCTTAACACACACAAAAAATATGGATCTTACATGAATGTCGAAACATAAAAAATTATGATAATTTGTAACATCTATTTTAACAAAAAGAAAATATTTACTCTTTTTAACATATTATCAATTAATCATTAAATTTGATAGTTGTATATGACTAATTTACAGGAGAAAACGAAAGAGAAATGACTGTTGAGATTAAAGTAGCATACAATGGTTCTCTCAACATACAAGAATTAAAAAATTAGATATTCATAGAAGTTGTTGGAAAAGAAAGGCATGGATAGAGAAAATGGCTGTTGAGATTAAAGTAGTATATGGTGGTTCTCTCAACATGCAAGAATTGAAAAATCAGATATTCATAGAAGTTGCTAGAAAAGAAAGGCATGGATAGGTCTGAGGCCTTGGATTAGGTCTAACACCATCTACTTACTATGGACGTAGCTCTCAGTAAGTTAGTTTTTGGGAGATATTTCGATATTAAGAGAGGAGTTGCAAACTATGCAACAATATTTCCAACAAATGGAAGTAGAAAGAGAACATGAGCGTATCAAAATTATGGAAGAATGTGTTAGAATAAAGCAAGAGCGTGCAAAATTTCAGCAGTTGCATGATTGATTCGATCATCTTATGAATTTTATGCAACAACAATTTTCAGGAACTGATCTCGGTGGTCCTCCAACTCAAGTATTATATTTAGTAAATATTTATATTTTTTAATATAAAAAAAGCTTACAATGAAGTATTAAAAATTGTATGCTATTATTCAGTAGGTTATTGAGTATGCTAGTGACCAAGGTGAAAAAATTCCTTCATCAATTAGCAGCCTTCAAAATGTATGCAGTTATCAATTTCATATTTTTTAATTTTTACTTTGTTAATGTATTAAAAAAATTTTGAATGTTATTATACTAATTATTAAATTTCGTGTTAATTAGATGCATACTTGAATGTGAATTAAGTTTATATTAATTTCAGTATCTGAATTTAAGCTCGTTATGAAAATAATAAATATTAACATAAATTTTTTATTTTAAAAAAATACATTTCTCAATTTCACGGCATTTGTGTTTGAGAATATTGCTAAATGATAATTTAATGGTGTTTATACCATAAAATGTCACTAAAAGTAGCAGTGTTCTTACTAGTAAACGAGCTAAATTAACAGTGTTTTTTTATACAAATGCCACCAAAGTAATGGTATTTTTCTGATAAAAACGTCACTAAATTAGTAGCGTATCAAAGGTACAAATACTACTAATATAGCGACATTTTTCAGATACAAATGCCGCTAATGTAACGGCATTTTATAAAAAATGCTCATATTTTTTGTAACGCATGTATAGTCGGCATTCTGACTGATGTTTTTTTCAAACATCGCAAATCTTTTAATGGCGTTTATAAATGCCACTAAACGTAAAAAAAAAAAACGCCACTAAAAACCAAAACTCCTATAACATAACCTGCTCATTGTTACAGACTTTAGGATCATAATATAGCAGAATTTTAAATATTTTGTTATCAACACAAGTACTAACTTAATGCATAGGGCTAGAGACCAACAGCAAAAGCATCAACAGTAGATATAAAGAGTATGAAAATTTTTGTATGAGCCACAGTTATTGCTTGACACGCATCATAATCTTCTTTGCCATATAAGTTAATATAAGTCATATTTGATGCATAAAATTATTGAAAAAATAAGATAATAATCATTTTATATAGTGTATGATTTATATCTAAAGAAATGGATAGAAATTATAAGAAGAATTAATTTTTTCATGATACAGGATTATTCAATCATTTCCAAGTGAAAATGATCATTTTTAATTCATAGAATTAAACTTATATGTCTAATTCTACACTTAACAATTACATCAATAATTTAAATTGTTTAAATTTTGAGAAATGATAATTTTAATAAAAAATAAATTATTCTTTTCTAATTTTTGCATATATTAAACACAAAATAGGATGACATTATTTAATTTAGTCATATTCATAATATTATCTTATCTTATCCTATCATAATCTTATGTGCTAAACATAACCATAAATCCTTGATTTGCAAATCTAAGATTATTTTCTGAAAGTATTCACTTATAATATATATAAAAAATTATTAATATATTTATTAATTTTATTGATGAAAAACGGTGTTCTGGGTAAATTTTGGGGGTGTCCAGGAAAATTTTTCTTTTAAAATTGCTTATTTTTCAATTTTGGGCATGGATCCACCGCTGCATGTCAAGGCATGCACATGTCGCTATGAACTTCTCATGGAGTTATATTTCATATTGAAGAACAAAAGTGAACCGTATTGGTATATTCATTTGTTACAAGAACTTACTAGGGATGTTCTCTATGTCAATTTCTTATTCTGAGCAAAATTGTAAGGGTCATCTTTGCGTGCTCCATCTCCCACTGTCAAGTAAAGAAACCCATCTGCAGGACCAAAAAGAAGCTGACCTAAATGACCTCCCCTGTATGCAGACCCATTGTCATTAGGTATGCAGACCCATTGCCATTATCCTTCTTACCTCCAATGGATTTGCTCTTTTTGCCTTGCCAAAACAAATCATGAATCTAATTTCATTAAAGTCATATGGTGAGTGGTATTAGAACCAACAACCAGTAATGTTTGAACGTGTACATGATAGGATTTAGTGCAGTACCATTGACAGTGAATTCTGCAATAACACTATGGTACTGACATGGCTTGATTCTAATTATCAGCACCAATCTTTTAGATCTGTTTGTCATTTTAGCCTACAGAAAACTTGGGTTGAGAATATTTACCTGTGATGACTTAACAAAACATATATCAGAATGAAGCACCAGCATATTTCAGAAAACCGGGATTCCAAATTCATTTGTCAACTACTTAGAATTTGGGATAAGGAATCCATTTTGAATAGTATTAAAAAAAAAAGACATTGGAGAGTATAAAATAGATTTTAAAGCTGAGTTCTGGTGGGCTTACTGAGCATAAAATAGTTTTAAGGATAGAAGCACATTCTGTATCAGAAGCTTTCAATGCTTGAAAATGTTTTTGCAACTGCAGATCTTTAGCAGAGTTACAGCAGGCACTTCCACTGTAAGAACAAAAGTTGAGCAGCTTCCCCAGCTTAATAGCAGCTCCTGCATCAAAACCAAAGTGTTGAATTGTAGAACAGAAAGACTAGCATAGAAAGACAAAACGAATAGATAGAAGAGAGATATGAGACTTGAATCAGTGCACAAAGAATATGAGGAATGACAGGAAAACAATGTAGAAAGCAGGAAGAAAACAGCAACAAGATCTGCCATCTCTCTGGTATCCAATATACCATAGAACACATAACTAAACATGTTACTTTTATCTCTGCCCTTTTCAGTTCCAACGAGTATTTTATTTTATTTCCATAGAATCTCTTAAACAGTATATTGAAGAAACTAATTGTCTTTACAAAACTCAACGATTTGATCCTCGAGAAACGGTGAGTTTTTTTATAGATAAAATAGGCTGTAGCGTGGGATTAGAGAAAAAAATTATAAGCAAAGATATATTAACTTCAAATCTGTTAAATCTTATTTCTTAAAAATAATTACATAATATATAAGAAATGATTGCATAATATTGAGATTCAAAAAGGTGAGTTTTGACAAAATGAAATAGAAATCAGTTTTTTTTGGCTCTCTATGCAAATTTAAAAAGTTCAGCGAATCGTTACCAGCTTAACACTTGTCTTAGCGAGATTCAACTGTTGATTAAACACTGCAATTCAGCTCCCCAAACGGGTAACTACAAGGGAAAAGAATATGAAGAGCAAATCTTAATCTGCCACATTCCCAGTTTGATTCTACCAAAATCTCTCATAAACTGTTTTATTAAGTATAGTTTGTCAGTTAAACAGAGCAACAGCTGATCAATTACATAGAATCAGTACGTGCCCAAAATCAGAAGAGGGGTAAGCAATAGGAAAATACAATTTCAAAACCCAAAATGCAAGTTAAATTGCTACGTTGCTTGGAGCAGATATATTTTAACATTTACTTCAGGAAAATTGCCCTGAATTACACAATCTCATGAACTGAGAAGGTTTGAAAGTTTGCCTATAGAAAAATGTGGCACTACAGTATGAAACCCGATCCCTTGACAGTACCGCAACACTGAAACGCTAGCCCCCGAGAACAATAATATGGCTCAAGCCACTTAACCCTAAAAATAGCTTGTACATGCTTCATTCTGATTGCACGGGAGCTGCTTTTCCTTGACATCTCAACAGCTATAGCAATATCAGCTATCAAGTGCACCAAGTGCCTTCATGTCCTCCAAGAATGCCGTGTATGAGTCATCAATACTCTGTGCCTTTGGAGCTGATGATATGCTGGTTGATTCTTGCTTCAAAATGGTAGGAGCTATAGGCTTGATCGTCACTGTCATGGTTGACAGTAAAGGCTTCGGTTTTACTTTTGGGGCAGCAATCTCCCTCCTTACTCGAACCGATGCAGGAACCTAAAACCCATAAAAGCTTAAACCAGGAACACGTATACAGCACTTTTCTAGAGTTTTGGCAATATATCAACATAGCACATTGGTCTTTAGGAAATTAATGGTGTTCACATAAATAGTATTTATTTGTCTGAAATACTTTCCAAGTTTAGAGAACAAAGTAGGCTAAGGGCAGTTATCATATAAGGCAGAAAATAGAGACAGTGCATATTTAGCCATATTTGAGGGCAAAGAATTCTTCACAGATCTAATCCTGTCTTGTAGGTTTGCATAGTCCTTAAAGATCATCTAAAAGAAATGCTACTAGCCAAAGGGAGAGGGTGAGAGACATCTTACTCAATTCAACATCCCAAATCTAAATAAATGTGATCAATTCATTTAGTATTGATGTAGACATATCAAGATTAAATGATATACTTATAGATGGAATGCATCTTAACCTTAAAACTATCTGGTGAGCCAATACCGAAGTGCTCAGTCAAGTTAAGCGTAAACCAAGCGACCACCTTAGCACCAGAATGCTGCACCCTCCCATGCTCACTTATGCATGACCAGAGGTCAGATGGAAATATTTTAACCACTCAGAGTCAGCAATGCAGTTCAATAAGTTCCAACTATTCTATTTGTCATGCATCCACGAATATATCAAATCATATTCATGGCCACAAATAAGTATTAAAGCAACATAAAACTAGCAAAGGAAAGTGTCCTTACCATAGCCGTAAGTTCTGGCTGGTGCTGAGCCAGTGGCCGCTTAATAACAGTAGATGCAGCAGATTTAACATATGATGGCTTCTGTGGTAATGGTGGTCGATTTGTAGAATTATAATCATCCAGTACAGGAGGAGGACCGGGTGGAAGTGGTGGTCTCATCATTGGTGCATGTCCGGGTGGAGGGCCCAAAGGTGGTCTTGGAATTACTGGGACCATTATTCCAGGAGAAGCAGCTTGACCAGGAAGTCCAGTAGCAGATAGGGGTGCCCGCATGTCTGGAGATGGCGGCGGAGGGAAACGTGATATTCCAGGTAGTAATACATCAGTCTGTAGAACTGGGACCATGGCAGGTCCAGGCACGGGAGGTTGTTGCCTGGGAGGAGGCGGGGGTGGTGCAACCATTTTAGGAACCTCTTTTATTGCTGGATGGTTATTGAAATCAGCTTCTGATGGAGCACCTTCAGCCTGGTTAATTGCCAATTTAGGGGGCATTCCAGGAGGAGGGGGAGGGAGCACAGGAAGCACCTAAGAAGGAGAGAGAGAGAGTGAGAGAGAGAGATTAACACTTTTCACAGCAAATAATTCTGAAGAACCACGAAACAATTTTGTTGTTCTCCGCATTGGAACCAATTGAAGATCTTTCAGGGAATACAGATCTTTGGTGTTCCTAACTTTGAAAACTCAAAATATACTAAATCTATTGATATATGTCCAAGTCAGAAAGGATGAATATCTAGAGATGATGGATAAGAAGAGCTCACCTGAGCCAGCTCCTTGGAGGTCAAGTCATCTGATAGTACAGATATTCTCTCTCTTTCATTTCCACTAGTGCCAGGGGGAGCTGGCTGCGCAGACTGTCGAAGGGGAGGAGGTGGGGGTAGCGGAGGGCAAACTATAACTTGCTCTTTAGGTGGGGGACCAGGAGGTGGCAATGGCCCAGGTGGTGGACGCAAAGGAATACCCAAGTTTGCCGTGGCAGACTTGGGTGGCATAGAAGGTGGGGGTGGTAGAGGCAAAGATGCAGGAACAACAGAGACATCCCCTGAGTTTGATTTAGCAGTATCTGGCAAAGGAGGTGGTGGTGGAGGAGGAGGTAGCACAGCTACAGGAATATCATCTGCCTCTGTCTGTGAGGATGATGCAGAGGCACTTGATGATGCAGAAGACAAGGGAATTCTAGGTCCTGAAGCCAAAACCAAAACCAGAATAAAAGCATGAGAGAGAGAGAGAGAAAATAAAACCAGCTCAAGTATTTAAGTCAGAAATGCAGGAAAGAGAACTATGTTTCAGCAGAAAACAAATCAAAGTGGAAGTTACTAGACCTATTGATGATTTGTACATAGGTGGCTTTCCAGGTGGTGGAGCCCCTGTGGGATTCAGAGTAGGGTGATAATAAACAGAATCCTGCAGAAAAAAAAATTAAAAAAAAAAAAAAAAGAATAGTAAAATTTAAGCTCCAAAGCAAGCAGACATTATGAAAATATAATTATAGAAGTTAATCATTGGATTTGAATCTTACTTCAGGCTTAGGATGCTTCGCTCTCTCTTCTTCTTCTGCAGTTGTCCTTCTCCGAGGAGGCCCCAAGTGACTGCAGCAGAAGACAAACTATAGTTAGTAAATGAGAATTTGGAGATGCTAAGACTGAAGCATAAAGGAACATATCAAACAGAGAATGTCTATTTACCTGAACATAACAGGGGCCTCACCCTTCTCCTTCATTTTATTTTCATATTCCTGAGCAAGGGAGTAATGAAGATTGTAGCTATCTCATGCAAACAACTAATACTAATAAATGGCAAAAAAATCATAAGCCAATATTTATTTCCTCAAAAAATGCCAAATATTTATCACTTCAATTATTACCTTCCTCTTCTTTAAGACAAGGTTAAGTGTGTCTTCAAGTTGTCTCTTCTTGTGTTTTCTTGCTTTATCTAAAGCCCCTTCAGCCTCTGCGATAATTGAACAAAGTTATTGACTATAATAGGAAGTCCACCAGACTGCATTTCAAAATTAGTAAAGAAATAACCAAATATGCTAGTGAGAACAATGTGAACTGCAGACACAAAATACTTAACTAATAAACATTCAACAGAGGTACATTCTTCAAACCCACTTATAATACCTCAAATATAAAGAAAGAAATAAAAGGGACAAGAAGACTTTCATAGGTATTTATTACATCAATGTCGTATAGTCAAAGATAAACATATTTTCATTAAGATTGCCATCTTGAAAATGGGAAAAGTCAATTGGTTTTCATCATTATGCTGTATTCGATCCAACGACTACTTCATCAGAGGAAAATGTATAGCTACATTTCCTACCTCTTGACTTCTAAAAAAACAAGACATTATTTCAAGGAAACACGGATTTTTTTCCACTTGTTTTAAAAACTATGTTTTTCACACTAGTTAACACATGCATGGTAAATGCCAAGATCAAGGAAACGTCTAAATGCCACAACAAATAGTCACCAAAACCTCCTTGAAAGGAAAGCAAACAGAGCAGAAAATCAGTTAGTAACTCTAAGGATTGTTTAGTCCCCTGCGTTAAAAGTACAGTCCTAAAGTTTCCTGACTTGGGGGGAAAATGGGGACAGTCTATTGTAAGTAAAATTTTCTAATTCTAAAGCAAAGCCATCACCAATAAGCTCTGCTCATTCGAACAAGTGCTAATTTGCATGTAAACAGATATTAAATAATTAATCAATCATGAAACATCCAAATTGAACAACTTACTGATCATTTCTAACTTCTCAATCTGCTCCATGATTGCCTGCGGATCCTTCTTCAAAATTCCCACCTCTCTCACCTTCTTTCTTTCCTTCTTGTTCTGTTAGAACAAAATAACACATTAACAACTATATAAACAATGACCTACATTTACAAATTTAGCTCCAAAGTAATCGAAATAAAATTATGCGACTTTATTATTAGTTTCATTTTTTGAAGTTCGGATAAGTAAAATTCAACAGCTTATTTGAGGCGAATATTAACTCTGAAGCCAATAATTTCCCTTGAATTCCACACCATTCTTCGCAAATTCATTTTTTATTAAGGTAAAAAGTAAAATAACAGAAAAAAACTGAGTTTTTCAATTTAAATGAAATAGTTCTTTTTTTTCATTTTAGCCAAACAGGAAATTAGGGCAAAATGAGGGACGAAATTGATTGAGAACATTAGAATGGAATAAGCAAAAAATCAAGTAACGAAGAACTGAGCATCATTGAAGTGAAAAGAAACAGAAAACCCTAAAAAGAAACGGAACGGAGTAGGATTTTACCCGTTTAAGTTCTTTCTTACGGAGCTCCTTACGGTAGGCGTCCGTAGGGTTCATCACTTTGCCTCCTTTTGTCGTCTTCATCTTCTCTTTCTCTTAAAAATTATCTTTTTGCCAATTTTCTTAAATTCTTTAGGGTTTCTTCTTCTCCTCCTCCTCCTTCTTCGGCTGCTGATTTTTTGGTATCGAATCGCGGGGAAAAAATAACGTCTCAGTTTCAGTAGGACGAGGGGACAAAAACGACGATCCGCAACGAAAACCTCACTTCAATCTTATTATGGATATTTATTTCGTTTTCTTTTACTGTGTAATTCCGTGTTTCTCTTCGGCCCAATCGGTCAAGACCCGCTGTGGTTGGACCTTACCTCAATATTTTTTTTTTTTTATATTTCAAGAAAATGGGTTTGATTTTTCATATACCAAGGCTCAATTTGTTAATTTTGTTATAAAATGGATTAATTAATAAATTTAATATAAAATAAATTTTATTATATAATCAATTAATTTATAAATCAATTTTATTATATAATAAACTAATAAATAATTTTTTATTATTTATTAATAAAACTATTATTTTATTTTAAAAATTAATAATTTTTAATTATTTATTTATTTTATTTTATAAGTATTAAATAATTTAAAAGTTTTATTGCATAAAATTTTTAGTTAAATTACTTAATAATTATTTTTTTCTTTTTATTATAATTTATTTCACTATTATTGTTACATTTACATTGAAATAAGTATTATATCATTAATTTTAATCTCACTATTATATTAATTAATCTCACATCTAATATTATTTTAAATCTTAACAAAACTAATTTTACCATTCATCTAAATAAATCTAAGAGTCATTTGAGGATTAGTTACATCAAAATAGAAAAACTCCTATCGAGTTGCCAAAAAGGCTCTAAATCAAATGTTATGAGTGCTTTTTTCTAACAAACAATTGAAAATTTTCTAATTAGAATAGTAAAAAATGTAAATAAGTTGAATCGATCCAAGATTTTACTAATTTGTTTGAGATAAGCTCAAGGCTTTGACTTTTTTTTTCTTTTTGAATTTGAACTCTAGTTAAACAATATTTTTTTAAGTTAGTTAGAGCTCAACTCTTAAGTTAAATTCAAATAAACTAATTAATGATTAAAGCATGATTTTTTTTTTTGACAGAAAAGCATTCATTAAGATAAAATAGCATCAGCATTTGTTATACAATCAGGTAGAAACCCTTCCTATATAATTTGATGTCCAACAGAACAAGGTACTCTTGCTATGTTATGTGACAATGAGTTTATGTACCGACTCCTATACACAATATCACTTTCTCTACACTATCATGCTAACGGTAAAATGTCCATAAAAATCCCAACCCCATCCTATAGAGAAATAGCTTTCTTTCTAATTTTTGTTATGAATAATGACTCAAATCATAGAAAAGATTTGTTTGAGATTGACTAAATACTGTTTGATGGACAAAAAGACTTGCAGAAGAAGAATTCTAAAAGAAAAGATATTTTTAATAGGCAATTGACTTGTAGAAGAAGAATTTAAGAGGAAATGGATTCTTAATAAGAAAATTTATATGCTTATAAATAGATGAAGTCTCTATAAGGTTAGGTATAAAAAAAATGTAAAAAAGTTATAGAATTTTACAGGATGGACACCCTATAAAAAGTACTAAAGATTTACAACTTATGAGTGTATATTTGAATATTTGTGAGTAGACTAAATAAGACTAAGAGCATTCACATATGTATGGTGCATAGGTGTATAAGAGTATGTATTTGTTTATGTTAAGAATACTCTATAAGGCTAGAAGAGATTGAAAAAGGTCTTATGAGTATTGATTGTTGAGTGAGGTTGATGATTTGATAGTATGTTTGTAATTCTCTATAACTAATAGATCTTTTTTTCTCATCAGTGGACGTAGGTCGATTAGATTGAACTATGTTAAATTGTTATCCTTATGTGATTGATTGATCGTTTGATTTCACTTTCGTTGGTGTTTTGAATTAGGGCCTTTTAGCCTAACAAGTAGTATCAAAGTTATGGTAATCTCCAACAAGTGGTATCAAAGAATGGTTCAAGCTATGGAAAGAAGCAAGCCTAAAGAAGCTCTATTTAAGAGAAGAATTTGAGTTCATGTTTTGAGAATTGAAGATCGGTTTAGGTAAATCATGAAAACATATAAAAGAAAATGATTATGAAACTTTCATTATAGGTGAAGATAAGCATATCTACCATAAAGATAGATGATTTGATGGAATTTGAGTCAAAGTGAAGATTATTAAGAATAATGACTCAAATCCCATAAGAGATTTACTTGGGATTGATTAGATATTACTTGATGGATAAAAAGACTTGCAAAAGAAGAATTCTAAAAGAAAAAAGATTTTTAATAGTCAATTTTAACTTGTAGAAGAAGAATTCTAAGGGAAAAGGGATTCATAATAGGTAAGTTTATACACTTATAAATAGGTAAAGTCTCCATAAAGTTAGGTATAAGAAAAAGATATAAGAAAGTTATAGGATTTTATGAAATAAACACCTCATAAGAGTATTAGAGATAAACATCTTTAAGTGTGTATGTTTAAATATTTGTAAGTAGACTAAAGGAGACTAAAAAGGTTCATATAGATATAGTACATAGGTGCACAAGGGTATATATTTGTTTGGGTTGAAAATACTCCATAAGGCTAGAGGAGATTGATAGGGTCTTATGAGTATTGATTGTTAAGTGAACTTGATGATTTGATTGTATATTTATAATTTTCTACAACTAGTGGATCTTTTTTCTCATTCGTAGAAATAAGTTAGTTGGACTGAACTACGTTAAATTGTTGTTTCTTATGTGATTGATTGATTATTTGATTTCACTTTCGCTGGTGTGATTGGATTGAAGGTTTTTAGCCTAACAAGTGATATTAGAGCTATGGTGATCTATAATATTTTTATCCATCGCTAGCCTTGAATCAAATTTTACCAACACAGACTCATATCCTTTCTCCCTCGCTATGCTCAATACAAACCATATAGCTTTCATTTCTGTATGTAATGGGTTGTGCACTTAATTAACCTTAGTAACACCACTCGATAGAACCTATCCATTATAATCTCAAGCAAACATCCCTAATCCTACCATTTTGTTTGCCAAATTAACAACAGCATCCATGTTTATCTTCACTTCAAATGCTTTAGCTGGTTTCCATCATAGCATGGGTCGAAGCCAATATTCACCGCAAGCTGAACCTGTCATCAACCACATATCATCATTCATCTTTATTGCTTTGTTAGTTATAACCCTTATAGTATTATATGTAGCATTCTGTAGACAAGGTTTTGGTTTAGCCAAATGAGCAACAAAGCATACAAACAAATCTTCATTGGGAAAAACTTGAGTGAAGTTTCTTAGATGACATTCATGAAATTTTCAACTAAAAATGATTAAATAAAAATTAAAATCGAAAATCAAAACCATTAGATTGAAAGATCTTGTTACATAAATCAAGTGTGTAAAATTTTAAAAAAATTTAATAAATTTTTTTATATAATTTTAGATAGACATTTTTAGTAAAAATATTGATAGAATTTTTACCGTTGAATAAGCATTAACCAAATTTGAATTATAAATAATATTTTTAATAATTGTTTTTACATATTATTAATCTTCACATTAAATTCTATTAATCTATCAATTTGGATTTTTTATTAAAATTTTTATTAAATTATTTTTAAGAAGAAACTTCACCTAAAAAACTTAATATAAGTTTTCTCCATCTCCATTTGCTTCCCTTGTTTAGTTTTACTCATGAAATTTAGCCAAAACTCATCGAACGATGAACATTTATCCAAAAAGTTAGCATCCATACACAGATTTCCTCTCATACTGCTCGACTAAACATGGTCAAAGAAAACATAAAATCTTATCCACTCCACAAACACAACATCTACAATCTACTCCTACTTCTCGAGCTATCGACACTTCTTTAGCTGGTAGTATACCCCACAATAATCTTCATATAAATATCTTCACCTTTGGCAGCAGCTTTGCCTTTCATAACATTTAGATGCTTGATAAGTTAAAAGTCCAATTATAAAATCTGAACCCGACACACATCCAAATCAAGCCTAACAATTAAGCTTAAAGCTCAAAGTAAGCAGAAGCTAGTGTTGGGGGCATTTAATGATAAAAAAGGTATAGTAGTCTTTTTCTACGTTAGAAGCTTTCAACAGACAACTAGGGGTAATTTTAACATTTGTGCTTACCTAACATATTAAGTCAGTTTGATACTTTTAGTGCCACATCAACTCAACAGTGTTCTTATTGTCCCCTAATGATCTCTTATCATTTATCTATAAATATGATGGTCCAAGCATCATGAAGGCAAGACATACCACTCTATCTTTTCCCTATTACTTTTCTTTCGACCTCATTATTTCTTACTTGTGCATTGGAGTGCAAACATAGGAAACACTCCCTGCCTTTGGCTCTAATCGTCATTTTTTTCTGTCTTTTCAGAAATACCTTGAGACCAAAACTCGACACAAACATTTGGCACACCAGGTAAGGGAAAATTTTCCATTCATTAGTTAAACACAAAGCAATGCTGCCAATGAAGAGAACTTTAAAGAAGAAGAGACGATCATTTCGACTAGAATAGAAACTTGTCATAGCCAATAGTCCGTCTGACCAGCCTAACCACATACAAGACCAACCATGGAACAATTTCAAGCCTTGACCAAATAAATATAAGCTCTCAAGCAAATGTTACAAACCCTAACTCCACCATAAGTTTCAAAAGTGCCTAACTTAATCACCTTTGGTCGATGAGCCATTGTCAGATAATCGAGTTATGAAGAGGTGGAAACCTTTTCGACCTTTAGAAAAAAGAATTACAACACCCCAACCCACCATTAGCCATACCTTTCAAAAGGTTCAAAATGCTACCCTTGAAAACCTATAACAGTACTTCTGATCCCTTGATCATTTAAAACTTTATAGAATTAACATGATGATGTAGGCAACAAATGAGGCTCTAATGTGTAAAAGCCTAACTATCACACTAAAGGGCACAGTTTAGTCATAGTACAGTAGCCTAGAATCAAGGTCAATCATGATGTTCAAATAGCTCAATCACTCTTTTCTATCCAGGTTTGTCAATAGTCAAAAAGTAAGGAAGATGATTCTAAGTTTGATGTCAATCCACCAAAAAAGGAATGAAACTATGAAAAGCTATGTCATGCGGTTTAATGTGAAAACTCTGCAGGTTAAAAACCCGGAACAGACGATCACTATAATTACCTTGACAAGTGAACTTAATGATAAAGAGTACCACTTAAAGCTGACATTATCACTAGAACCACCTAAAACTTTGGTCGACATCT